GAAATTAAATGAGACAAGAAGGACCACACTGTGTTCCATCTGCCTTTCCATCCTCCAGAGTGGAGCAGGGCTCTGCTCCTGAGAACTCCCCGCTGCCTTCCTCATCTGCTCCCTGCATCTCAGGAGCCTTCATCCACACCACACAGGGCCAGTCCGCAGGGCACCCATCCATCACCTGGCCCAGTTAGGATTTCCACAGAACACTGCCCCTCCTGGAAAAGTTTACATGTGCTCCCAAGAGCTTGCAGGACCTCCTCAGGCCTAGCCTCTAGAATGGCTGGCTCACTTACAACAGGTGACTTCCTTTTAAATCAAAATTGAGACTATAATATGCCTCTCAAAAAGCAGCCTGGTGAGACAATCTTTTCCAACCCCTACCCTACCCCCACAAAATAAACAAAGGGGCAGGTGTGGTGGCTCCCGCCTGTAATCCCAGCACTTTGGGAGGCCGAGACGGGGGGATTGCTTGAGGCCAGGAGTTTGAGGTTACACTGAGCTATGATTGAGCCACTGTACTCTAGACTGGGTGACACAGTGAGACCTTGTCTCTATTAAAAAAAGAATAAAGAAAACCTAAGCATGAACAAAACTAGAATGTGGGGAATGTTTTGCTATCTTTTCTGGAATATTGACTTGGTTTGAGCCAAGAGGGAGTTGTGTGTCCATTCTTGTTTCTGTGAAGGTTCCCTGGGCACACTTTATAAACCACCCAAGTCTGAAAGACACTTTTTTTTATTAATATAGCAATCTCTTCCCCACTCCCCCTTAAACAATGAAGGTGTTTACACTGCAACATGAAAGGGCACCAAAGGCTCTGCAGGTCCAAAGCCAGATGTCACAGGTTGGGTCCCCCCTGTAGCCAAGAGGGGCTGCCCAAGCTGTGGATGCCATTCTGAGCCCTGAGGACCTGGGCACAGAGGTGGCAGTGTCCCACCCAGGGTAGTTACAGACCCTGCTCAAGAGCCTGGTTCTGGGCTGTGCCAGTGCTTAATCCTGGCCCCCTTCCTCAGCACTAAAGGGCATTAATGCTTGGCAGTCTGTAAGGGTCAGGATGGGGAGGGCTCCAGGAAGGGTTCCAGAGTGGCCTCACAGGAGACCCCCTCTCCAGGCCTCTTGTAGTCCAGGTCGTCGAGGGCGCAGAGCTGCACGCCTTCCTGGGCAAGCCGGGCCCGCAGCGTGGGCGCAGTGAGGACACGCAGCTCATGCAGCCGCTCCCAAGAGCAGGAGAATGCGTCAGGGCCCTCACCACAGCCCCCAGCCGGAGGCACACTGGGGTAGCCGGGGTGTGCCATCAGCTCGGCTGTCAGGGTATGGCCCGCTGGGATACCTTCTAGGGCCCGCGCCAGCGCCCCGGACACGCGATGAGCGGACATGTGCCTGCCGCAAGTGCTCATGCCCACGAAGGCGTCTGTCCACCTGTGGGTGACGGGCATCAGCGGCGGGGTCGGGCAGTGGGCGGGGCTAGGTTGGGGGTGGGGCGCTTCCTGGTTGAGAAGCGGAAACAGATGGCCATGAGGATGCCCAGCCCGACGCCCGGGGACCTGTGCGGGAGAGGGGATGGAGGCGGGGTGGGGCGAGGGGCCTCACCGCAGGCCGTGGCAGGAGAAGGGGCCCACGGCGGCCCGGGCGTCGCGCTCCACGGCGCAGGCGAAGGCGCGCGCTGGCGCCTCCAGCCACGCGCAGCCGCCCACGCCGCGTTCCAGCGGCAGCCGTGTGAAGCGCACCCCGTAGGCCTGCAGCGCCTCGGCGAACACCTGGCACACGCCTGCGGGCGAGCGGGCTCGGGGAGGAGCATGTCCCCTCACCTGGGAGCATCAGCCTCCCCCAAACTCCACCCACCCGGCCTGGGAGCCCCAATCCGCGCACCTGGGAGCACGTGCACGTGCTGGTGCCCGTCCACGTGCGTGGGGGCCCTGCCCAGCAACTCCCGGAAGCAGTTTAGTTGGGCCTCTAGCTCCTCCCGCACCTGGAGGGAGAGGACGATTGACACCTTGAGAGTCCGGGAGCAGCTACCGAGGAGGATCCCCTCCTTGAGCTTGTGTGTGGTGACTGCTCCAGGGTTTGAACGAGGAAATCATTCAGCGCCAGCTCCTGCCCCTAAGCCTTCACGGTACCCGCTGGGCAGAATTTTGGGGTCATAGCGAGCATCCTCTTGCAGCTGCGCCTCCGCACCTGGGGCAAAGCCACGTCTCCGGCCGCCACCGCCTCCCGGAATCCCATCTTGCCGAGGAAGAAACCTTCGGGGCTGAGCAGCGTCGAGGCGCCGTGGCGGGCCGGGCCCACCGGGCGGCCCTCGGACAGATTGGCGTGGAGGCCCGTGGGGATGCTGTGCCTGCGGGCGGAGCGCGAACGGGAGTACGGACGGCCGCGGGGCGGGGGCGCCCCCAACCTGCCCGGACCCTGCGGGGCCGCCCCTCACCTGCGGGCCAGCTCCGCCGCGCTCTCCGCGGCCGCGCCGTTGACCAGCAGGGACACGCTGGTCACGGTCCCGGCCAGAAAGGCTTCCACGATGCCTTCGTCACGCCGCGAGCAGTAACCAAAATCGTCCGCGGTGACCACCAGGCGCACGCGAGGCCGGGCCATGGCAGCCACGCCCGTGGCTCGCGACCCGCGGAGAGTGGGCCTGGCAGCTCAGGCCCCGCCCCGGCGCACACGCCCCGCTGCGGCTGCGCTGCGCCTTTGTTCTCGCCACCTAGCGGTGTGGTATGGTCCTACACCGCTTATAACAAAGCGGAACTTTCCTCTGCAAGAGTGGTATTTAGTATGAAAATCACCAAAAAAAAAAAAAAAAGGACAAAAAAACCTCTTATACCCTTCTCAGAGATCACCACTGTTAACTTTCTGGGTTGTGTCCTTCCAGTGTTTTCTCTAAGCAAATAAACATACCCAATTCCTCTTCTCCCCAACCCAAATGTTTTTTGTTTTGAGAAGGTAAAGATGATCACATCAATATTATCTTATTCGTATAGTTTCTTTTTTTATAGCAGTGCCTATGAACTTTTTCATATCATTAGCTATTTTTATTCTTTTCCAAATTGCTTTTTGGTCTTTTGCTGATTTTTTTAAGGGGAGGCTTTTTCTTGATTTGTTGATTTTTTTTTTTTTCCTTGAGCTCTAGACAATAAGAAAATGAAAGAAAACACATACACCAATGGCTTCATTTGAGAAAGCATTAGCCCCTTTTCCATTTTGAGCTGTGTGCCAGGCTGCAACTTTTACAGTCATAGCTTCATGTTTTTCTCTTTGGTCCACAAAAGCGTTCCTTACCCATAACTATACAAATAGTCAACAAGTTGACAGCCAGAATTTTCATTGTCATGTGGCTGTCTTGATTTTCCCTATGGAAAGTGTGGTATTTTTGTCCAGCCTATGAGATTGGTAATGTCATGTCTGTTTTACAGATAAGGAAACTGGGGCTGAGACAGAGGAAGTGTGGTCCTACCAGGAGTAGCAGAGCTGGGACTGAACCTTAAGCTCTGGGCCTGCACCCAGGCCGGCTGTGGTTTTCTGGACTTTGGCTGCCCCCTAGTTTAGGGGCAGAGAGGGCAGAGCAGAGCTTGGGAATAACAAATACCTAATGGGGCATTGTAAGGGTTGGAGGCCTCATAGAGTCTTTCAGTCATGCTCTTGGCAGAACTGTCATGTTCAATCACCGTGATTGTTGAATTGTCAGACCTCAACCGTTCTCCACTGGGAAGCTGATCTTGGAAAGGCTAGAGGCCTCGAGGGTCTGCAGATTGGAAAGAGGAAACTGACATTTATTGAGCACCTACTGGATGCCAGCCATTGGCAGTACTGGAGATTAAGGGCGACTGCCTCAGTTCCTGCCCCAAAGAAGCAACATCTGCTAGATTACTAAGTAACAACATGGAGTGACAGAGTCTGGGATGGAGTCTACTATGAATTCTCTTGGGGGTGGGAGGCTTTCTGGGAAGGCTTCTCCAAGGATGTCGTGTTGCATGATGAGTTTATTGGGTGGCGGGGAAAAGTGGGGAGAGGAGGTAAGGTACCTATTGGGGTACCAGCTGTGTTGTATGAAGATTTTAATCCCCATCCGCCCACGTGGAAGGACACTCAAACCCATTTACAGATGGAGAGACAAGCTCGGAGAGGTTGAGTCACACCGGCAGGACATGCAGAACTAGGAATTGAAGCTAGGTCTGTGACTTGGGAGGTTGCCCTCAGAGAGGTTGCCAGAGGGAAGAGGTCTCAAGATGGACCTTGGGTAGTCCACTCCTGAAAAGGAGGAATCAGCGACGGGAGAGGAACCAAGGAAGGTGCTTGTGTCTCTGGTAGAGGCCGTGGCTTTGGCTGAATCAGGTTCCCCTCAGGGCAGGTGCGGGTCACACACAGCCTAACCGCCACCTGGCGCTGCTCCCGGCGGGGCGGAGCCTGGCTGGCCGCATCCCCAGCCCCGGCTCCCGGCGAATGTGGGTGGGGCAGAGCCTATTGGCGTGGGGGAGGAGCCAATACGGGCCCCGCCCCTGGCCATTGTGTCGGAGAAGCGAGTGGGCGAGCAGTCCGGAGCGAACCAACGACGACGCAGTATGCAAATGAGCACGCGCGTTGCTCGCCGGCTGTTCCAGCCCAGTGTGCCGCCGCCCTCGCCCGGGCGCACAGGGCGCGGGCGGGCGCTGGTGAGCTGGGAGGTGGCCGGGGCGCCCTGCGTCTGGGAGGAGGGAGGGTCGGACACACCCAGACCCAGATACGGTCGTAGAAGGCATGCGGGCGTCTTCAGCGACCCTACCCCGACGTCTCTGGAATCGAACGGTCCGCAATTGCCTGGGGGGCTCACCGCAGAGCAAGGGCCGGGTGCATAAAGGACGCGGGGTGAGGGGAGCGAGGGACCCACGGGCCCCGGGGCCACTGACACACATGGACCCATGGAGGCCTGGACAGACCCTCACGCCGTCTCCCCACCCTGCGCAGAGAGGAGTCTGCGGCTGTGCTGTGGAATTGAAGAGAGAAGAGGTGAGTCGTGGGCCGGGAACCCCGGCACCATGGCCAACCGCCGCCACCACTCGGGATACTTGGCCGACGACGAGGCCCGCCACTTCACGTATGTGGCACGGGTAAGTGTGCCCAGCAGGGCTCTGACCCTGGAACCCCTAACGTGTTCCCCACCAATCCTGGCACCCCAGACCACAGCCTCCCTTTTTCATTTCCCAGTGACCTTTTCACTGGGCCTCTCAGTGAAGTCCTCATTGCCTTGACCTTTCCTATGACCTCCTGGTGGGCCCTGAGCACTCTCAGTTTCATTCCCTGTGTCCCCCTGACTCCCAGCGACCTGAGAGGTGCTTGGGCAGCCTGGGAACCCAGAGTGGGAGCATGGAGCCAGCTAAGGGCCTATGGCTCAAGTGGGAGAAGCAGCCATGGGTAGCGCAGGGCTCAGGACCTCAGGTGTTGTCTCCATCCCAGCAGTGGAGACAGGGGTGGCCTGCTGCATGGACAGATGAGGAACTGGAGAGAGACTCGGGGGGCTTTCATGCTTGCCAATTCATGCCATGTGTGAGGGCAGAAATGGGCTTTCAGACTCCCTAGCCATGGTGTCAGGGAAGCTTCAGGGTGACCCTAAATAGATCCTCATTTTCAGATGAGGAAATTAGACCTCAGGAGGGGCCATTGTCCACACTGCCGCACAGCCTGAAGGCAAACCCAGGGCTGCCTGACTCCAAAATGCAGTTCCTTCCACTATTCACTCCACACCCAGCTCCTAGTGGCACCCTAGGAGTACCCCAGGGCCTCTCTACCTGCAGGACATCCTGTCCACTGTGATTGCCTGTCTGCTCAGGTGCAGTCACCCAAGAAGCCACTGTTCCGGGAAATGGGGCCAACCTCCAAGCTGGGCCGTGAGCCACACCTACCATCCATGTATGGCAGCTCAGCGCTCCGGTGCCACCGCCAAAACAAGACGGGCCCTGAGCCCTTTGGCAGCTTCCTGGATTTCCTGACCGAGGGCCAGGTGCTGGAAAGCCTGCAGACGGTGGTGGAGGAGGCGACGGAGCGCATGACTGCTGTGAAGACAGAGGCCGGGGTGCCGCTGGTGGAGGTACAGGACCCAGTGGAGATGCCAAGTGACAGGCGGCGGGTGCATGCCCGGCCCAGCCTCAGAACTGTGCACCGGCACCGTGCTCGGCCCAGCCTGTGCACGGGACGCCCCAACAACTACCCATCCTGCTCAAGTTCCACGTCCGACTCCCATAGCAGCCTCAAAGCTGGCCAGCTGGGCTCCCACAGCTGGGACAGTGATCTGAGAGCTCGCGGCTTAAGCTCACTGCCACCTGTGACAGATGAGCTCCTGCTGGAGAAGAACCTCAAGCGGCTGCTGCGGCTGGAGAACAAAGGGGTGAGATCTGGGGCCAAGGCTGGGGCTGGATGGGATGGATTCCTGTCAAGGGCCAGGGTCAGGCCTGGCTTGGCTGCTCCTGGACACTTCTCAGAGTGGCCCTTTCTTTACAGAAAGGCCTGAGTCAGTCCTGCTCCCAGAAGGACTCCCTGCTGTGGGACTCGGTGGGCAGCCAGACTGGCAGCCAGCGGAGCCAGGAGCAGCCCCTGTCCTGGTTCTCAGGGCTGCTGGACTCAAGTTCAGGCACACCGGAATCATCAGATCTGGGGCCTGGAGAGCGTGAGCTGATGTTCCTCAAGCAGGAGTTCAACAAGGAGATCAAGTCGCTACTGAACCAGCCGGCATCCTCCGACCTGCCTGGCTACTATTCACTCCGTGAGCCCCATCGCACCCTGGACTTCCTGGCCGAGCACCACCTCTTCCCTGTCCTGCAGGGCGTGGTCAGCCAGGCTGTGGACAAGCTCAGTGGTGCCCGCCGCCGTGACGGCTGCCCTCTCTTCCCTGCCAACTTCGAGTCCACTTCGGGGCTGCCGGTTAACTTCGACCTGCTGTTGCCAGGCTCCAAGTTCACCACATCCGACAGGGAGGAGCCCTGTGATTCCCTCCCCACCACAGACTCCAGCTCCAGGATGTTTTGCAGAAAAATCAACAGCAGACAGGACTCCCCCTCCACGTCTAGTGCCCAGATGGCCACCAAATTCAGGCTCAAGGTGACACCCACAGAAAAGCCCAATGGCCCCAGCCCGTCCCTCCATCCCAGGCAGGAGGCACCTGACTCAGATCCCAAATTAAAGAAACCGCCTGTGTCTCTGAACTCCAGTCAGAGGGCCAGGCCCTGGCGGGGCCTGCACCTCACCTTGCCCGCCCCTGGGGTTGTGGTGGAGGTGGCCTCCAGCCAGGGCCACTTCATGGGCCCAGTGGCACCTCTGCGTGCCTCCACCCACCCCCCATCGTGCTCCTGCTTCCTCCCCACGCTCTCCCCACTCACCTCCTTCATAAGAAGCTACTCCTCGTCCCCCAACTCGTCATGTCCAGAGGTGACAGCCTCGAGAGTGGGGCTGGGTGTCGTTGGCATGAGTTCACGGAAGGGCTCCTTCACCCACCACTCGTAGCAGCCACTGTCCCCAGCAAGCCCAAGGCTCAGATCTCCTTCCTTGCACTGTGGAAACCTCTTGGTCAGGAGACAAGCTAATGAGGGACCAGGAATCCTGACTGAGCTACTACCAGGTGTTGTCAAAGATGAATAAATGCTATTTTTTATCCTGGATATTTTTTTAACATTTGTATGTGAATCTTGGAGGCTCTCCCACATGGGGAGGGGCCTGTCCCTTGTGGACAGCAGCCTTGGCCCAGCGTGAGGCCCCACATCCTAGGCCCAGCTCCCTTCGATCCAGCAGCCTAGGTCAGGACTCTCCAGTCTCTTTACCCTGCCTGGGAAGCTGCCTGGGGAGGATACGTAGAAGATGCTGGTGGCCTCACCCTGGCAGGTCTGTGGCAGTCCCCTATCCCTCCCCTCCTCCAGCAAGGCCCAGGCATGTGTCCCTCTGAGCACAGGCCTGGGCAGGAGCCTGCAGGAGCACAGGTGGTCAAGGCTCAGGTTTGGCTGGCCTGGTGACTAAGGTCCCCCACCTTGCCCCTGGCCTGACAGGTGCAGCAGGTGTGATGAGGTGAGCATGAGGGTTGGCTGTTGAGTGTGACAGCATAGCATATGTGGCAAGACTGTGCCAATGTGACAAGCTGGCAACCGTGTTTGTGACCCGAGGGCTGGCGGGGCTGCCAAGGAGGGTGCCACAGGTGTAAGGGGCATCACAGGGTGGGAGGAGGGATAGAGCCAATGAAGCGTGACATATGTCCTTTTCTCTCCCTGGCTGCCACGCAGAACCCTGGCAGCAAGTTCTCGAAGAAGCAGCCGCTGCCCCCCATCTCGTCCAAGCCTAGCACGTCCCACTTTGGCAACCCCTGCTACGAGGAGCTCAACTTCTTGACCCAGCAGGCGGTCTCCCTGCTCATCCGCAAGTACAAGTTTGAGAACAACCTCAATAAGCAGCTGGGCTTCATCTCCTTCCCCGTCACTGAGATGCTCATGGACCTTAACCTGGGCTTCAAGAATGTGAAGGGCTCTCACATCCACCTGTCCTCAAATATCAACCGGACCTGCCTGCGGCACAAGCTGGAGAAGGCTGAGAGAGCATGGCACGCCTCCCAGCGCAGCCCCGAGTCCCCCTCCACGCTGCCCCCTCCACACAGCCCCTCTCCACGGAGTTCCTCTCCACACAGCCCCTCTCCACGGAGCTCCTCTCCACACAGCCCCCCTCCACGCAGCCCCCCTCCATGCAGCCCCCCTCCACACAGCCCACCAACACCAACCAGGACCAGCTCCAGGCCACGGAGCCCTGCCACACACACTTCGCTGACTTGTCAGCCGGCCAGTTGCTCAGCTCTCAGAAGCCAGTGACAGCTGAGGACCAGACACTCAGGAGCCCATTGGAGCCCAAGCTCTCAGTGTACTTTGGCACTGGTGTGGGCTCCAGTCCTCCCAAGTCCAAGGAAACACCGACTGGCAAAGACAGTGAGTACAGTGACAGGGTTGAGGTCGATGATGAGGCCTCAGCCTCCAAGGATGACAGCGAGTCCCAGAGCCCCCCTCAGCCTGGTGTGGAGGCCTTGGTCAGCCACTCTGTGGACGTGGGCCACAGTGACCCCCCGTGAGGTCCCTGCAAGCCACACTGAGCACTCGATCCCCTGCCCCTCCTCCTGCTCCATCATAGAGTTACTGCCCACTCGGCAGCCCCTGCCCCGAGGCAGGGGTCAGGAGTGGCTGAAAGCCCACAGCAAGCTTTGCTGAGACCCTCAGGGAAGCCAATGTATGAAATAGAAATAAAGCCTGTGTTGACAGAGCGCAGTTCTCATGTCCTGAGAGTTCAGCCTCCCTTTCTGTGCACCTGCACAGCACCCTTGGGTAGCACCTTCAGCGGGGCCAGCGGGGCGGCAGACAGCCTTCCTGGTGGCTGCCAGTGCTCTGCCTCATGGCTGCTCCTCTTGAAAGGCCAGCCACCTTGCCACGTGCTGCCCACTTTGCTGTGTGGCTCTTCCCAACTCCACTCTGCAGCTTCCTGGTTCTTTGAGCCTCCGAAGACACTCCTCATCACCCCTCACTCATGGGCCCTGTTCCTGCCTCCGGGGAGCTCTTTCTCTGCCTGGGGTGGCTCCCTTCTCGCTTCAACATGCCACATCTTCGCCTGACGCAGGAGCTGTGTGTCCGCCCTCTCCTGGTACACTCCCGGCTACCTGTCTTCCTCATTTGTGTTCCCAGCTCCAACTCGTGAGAATCTGGAGTCTCCATGCCAGGCCATGTGCTAGCCGCTGGTTGGTCAGGCTGTGGATTGGATGCCCAGGGCTGGCCCTGTGACTGACTTCCTGGCAGCGGCTCTGGGCAGGGCAGCTCTCTCCAGAAGAGTCTGTGGACACAGCTTGTGCTGTGATTGGTGGGTCTCCAGGGACTGCTGGCCATCCTGTGCCAACAGCACAGCGCACCCCTTCCCTCTGTCTTCCGAGGGAAGCCAGTCTATTGTCGCCCTAGGCACCTTCACCAAGAAAGCAGGTCAGCCTCTCCCCCTCTGCCTCTGTGGCCCAGTCTCAGTGGAGGACAAGAGAGCACGTGAAGGTGCTCCAACTCTGCCTTCCTGGTGCAGGCTCCCTTGTGGAGAGCCTGGTGGGTCTCTCTCAGTACTTGGATGCTACCCTGGTGCACAGAAGCCAGGCCTGCTCATGCAAGCTTGACTATAAGTACCTGACAGGTGTGGCCATGACCAGTGGCCCATGTGTGAGGACACAGCAACTGTAGCCTCTGGAGCCAGAGCCACACCTACAATTCAAGGAGGAGGAGCATTTGCTCATCTGCCATTCAGAGGGACCAGGGTCCTAAGGCGGGCACATGAGGGACCTATTTTTCCAAAGAGCTCTTGAGACAAAGATCTTTTAGGGCACACACTCAACTTGATTCCCGTTCCCTGAGGCCACCTGCCACTGCCACCACCACAGTGTGAGGCCATAACAGCTCCATTTTTGTACCTCATTGTCATACCACTTGGCCACAGTTGATTGGCCCCATTGGCACATCCCTATTCCAAGCTAGGCCAGTCGGGCTCTTTCCCAGGAGCCTGCAATTGGCATGGACTAAGAGATGCTGGTGGTTTGCACTGATTGCTGGAGACACACGTGGATGGTGTGGAGCAGCCATCGTCCACCCCTGTCCAGAGAAGCAAGATATCCTGTCAGTAGAATGGAGTCAAGAGGAGAGCCCTCAGGCTCCAAGAGACAGCACCCGCGGTGATTCCCAACAGCTTCCCAGGTCCTGCTGCCAAGTCATCAAGAGAAATGAGAACATATCCCCACCCAGCCTCAGAGGCACATCCCCGGGGTGGGAACAGCCCCTTTGGAAACCAGTGGTATTGTGCTAGAAACCGTGTCCTTAGCTGCTATTTCAGGGATCTATTGCTGTGTACAAACCACTCCAAGACCTAAGTGGTTTCAAACAAAATGATTATTTATCATGACACAGGGTTGACAGGCTCAGCTGGGGATGTGACTGCTTTCAGCTGGGAGCTGGGCTGTGGCTGGAATATTCCAGATGGCCTCTTGCCCTCCGGGGTCCCTCTCCCTGTGCCCTCTCACCATGCAGTGGTCTGGCCTGCACGCCATTAGTGCATGGTGCTGTCACTAGCCTCCTAGGGGGAGGAAGCAGGACCCTCCTGAGTTCCTATGGCTGGTACTCAGAAGTCCCCCAAAACACTTACTTCTTCAGTGTTCTATTGGTCAAAGCGAGTCACAAGACCTGCCCAGATTTAAGGGGAGGGGAAGTAGACTCCAGCTCTTTCGCTTACAGGGATGGGAGGCATGGTCAGTGGCTGTGTTTGGAGACTACTACCCCCCTTCCTCCTCTCTGCAGCTGACTGCATGTTGAGCACTCCTTGCACCCAAGTTGAGCTGACCAGACTCTCCCTTGAGAATCTGAACCTGAAGATTCTGGTTGGAGATGCCATAATCTGCCCACAGGGTGAGCCGGAGAAGATGGCCTGCAGGGGGAGGCAGGAACAGTTATGAGAAGCTACCAAGCCCCATGAGAGTCAAAAGAGAGCCACACTGGCTACCCCCACTCTGGTTCCAGGGGCTCAGCCTACTTAGAATCTTGCCTGTCAGAGAGATTGCCTGCCTTGTCCTCACCATCTTCTGGTCCTAAGTGCAACTGGCAAACTGCTGGGGGTTTTTACCATGAGACTGGCATGATCTGATTTATGCTTTTGCCACTTCCCTGTGTGGAGAATGCCTTGGAGAAGCCAGTGCAGTGGAAGCAGGAGACCTATCAGGAGGAGGCAGTGGTAGATATCTGGAGGGGAGATGGAGGGGCATGGATCAGGGTGGTGACAAGGGACTCAGGAGGGATGCCTGGAAATCCATTTTGGAGTCAGAGCCATCAAAACCTGTTGAATTAGATATGAGGATTGAGGTAAAGTGGAATCAAAGAAGAATCCTGAGTTTTGGGCCTGAGCAACTGGTGAATGGAGGTGCCATTTACTGCGACTCGGAAGCCTGGAGAAGGAGCAGTTTGAGGGTAGAGACCATGAATTCTGCTTTGGACGTGTTAAGTTTGAGACGCCTACTGACATGTCCAAGAGACATCTCCATTGCCTCTCTGATTATACTCTGGCCCCTCCACCCTGGACTGGAGGCCCCTCAAGTGCAGGGACTGCCAAATCCAGGGCACACCTTTAACCATTTAGACACCCTAAGTGCTGAAAAGATCAAAGTGCCTTATCCCATATGTAATTCAAAACAAAAACAACATAAACATGAAAAACCCAAAATGACATGTTGCTGTAATTAAGATGGCTTACCTCTGGATTTTCTGAATGCAAAATTCTGGATGATTTAATTAAATATAAACTTTTCTCCCTGCTTTGCTAGTGCTTCAAGTACATGCTTAGTCAGCCTCTTGGATAATATAGCCCAGAGCTAGTTCCTCTGTAATACGCTCCCAGCAGGGGACCTGGAGTGAAGTCACTGTAAGACTGTTCCATGAATTAATAAGTAAACAGTGGGCCCGGCGCAGTGGCTCACGCCTGTAATCCTAGCTCTCTGGGAGGCCGAGGTGGGCGGATTGCTTGAGCTCAGGAGTTCGAGACCAGCCTGAGCAAGAGCGAGACCCCGTCTCTACTAAAAATAGAAAGAAATTAATTGGACAACT